TGTCCCCATCGTGTCCCTCATCATTCACAAAGTTGCGGAATCCTAGTGAGGGAGTCCACAACGTTGCGGAATCCTAGTTGCGGAACGCCAGTTGCGGAATCCCAGTTGCAGAATCCTAGTTGCGGAATCTTGACAGTTCCGGAATCCTAGTTTCGGAATCCTAGTTGCGGAATCCTAGTTGCGGAATTCTAGTTGCGGAATCCTAGTTGCGGAATCCTAGTTTCGGAATCCCAGTTGCGGAATCCCAGTTGCGGAATCCGACCAAACAGTTGCGGAATCCTAGTTGCGGAATCCTGCGCAATTGCGGAACTCGACTTTATCCCACCAGCGCGGGTCATCGCCCAAGAGGGTACCACTTGAAACCAATTCTGTCGGTGCGACAAGGCATGCTGCAAACCTGGCCTTCTCTCCAGGAGGAAGGAATTGCCAAATGTCTTCTGCAAGGTGGCACAGTACCTGATGTAAAGAAGCTGTGTACAACACATTGGGTCGAGTGTCTAGGCGCACCGGCGCTATGGCTTTCGTCATATTCACCAGAATCCAACGCAACACGGTTTGACAGCCTCATCGCAAAAGATTTAGGTGTTTGCTTTCAGCATGTGATCCCCGAATTGCCTATGGTAGCTTCGTCGTTCACTTCGACTTGATTCCCGAAAGAACTACCAACACCTTGTCTTAACACCACAGCAATACCTAGACACATGTGGTGTTAATAGGTTGACCTAGGTATAACATGTTATAGGCTATAGGTTGACCTCGTCTTTTTAAGAGCCACACTTCGGCGCGAGTGGCTCGTTTTCCCGGATGTGTATAGCCTGTGCAAAGAACTTCGTCACCCCTTTCAGTGCAAATGGAGAGTGAGATCAACCCTCATCCACGCCTGTCTTTGGCTAGATCCAGGTATAGGGAGGACAAGTCAACTGACGTGAACCTGGAGAAAACGTCTCACAAATCCTGCACATACCTGGCTACCTTGCTCCAGCCATTTTGGGATGCAGCAAATCTCTCCATTCTGTGAGAAGGTGCTATTTCATTGATGTCCTTCTGACCTTCTGTGCTTTCTGCTCGTTCTGTCGGAGCCTGTCAAGGAGCTTGGTCGCAACGCTGAAGGAGTAAGCATCATAGGCCTCCGGCATCCACATGTCCACGCCGCAAGCAATCATTTTAGACCGCAAAGTTTGTGATATGCAAGCCGAGCAAAAAACTCGCTTTGCCTCCTTCATCTGGTCAAAGACGTTCTCTGCTCTGCGAATGATGCATTGATCAATCCTAAAGTGACAAGGAATCTGATAAAAGCATTATGTGCATGCATGTGAAATGGTGTGTGTGTGTGTGGGCACAGAGCTGCATACTACCTCCTACATTTTCTACATGTGGGTGCACACTTGAATACCAACCAATTGGTTTTAGTCTATCTTTCCTTCTACTATATAAGGGATCTTCGACGGTTTCTGTGTTCTATAACACACACCTCCATATGGCTATTCTATATTTCCTCAAAAATGGACAACATCCATATATATATATATATATATATTAGTGGTTCTTTTTTATGTAATTAGGCCAAATCCATCTCAGCGTTGCAAGTCGGACTGGACCAAGAACCAGACACTGGTAGATCCTCGTATGGGATGCCTTCTGTAGCCACGTCAAAGTCATGGATGTTGCCAAGAATCTGCAATGATTCCGCATAGCCGAAGTCATGGTGAACAATTCAAAGTAAATCCTTCAGTTGCCCTGCAATCTTGCCAGCTTGACAAATCTGGCTCGATTTCGCAATCTACGCACATTCTCTTCAGTGGACTTCAGAATTCCCAAGCCTAATTGACAAGCATACGGAAGAAAGAATACGGATCTGGAAAGGATCGAAGGGATTCAAAGCGCTGAGATTGTTGCTAATGGATACATCGCTTGCGAAGCCCACAGAAGCAACCCAGAAGCGTAACCTGAATGAGCTTTCAACTCGCTCCTACCTGTTGAGCCTCTACGTCAAGGTCCCAGCACATCCGCTCCTCGAGCTGGCTCCTCCCAGGTTCAATGTCTTCTGTCTTCACATTTGGAAATGTGTTTATTGATGATGATTTCTTTCATCCAAAGAAGTGCAATTATGAGAAACATTGAGTGTCTTTCAAAAGTATTTCGCTCCAGCTTTTGATTCTTGCCACCCTCGATGATGGTTCTTGGATCAATCACATTCCCAATTGACCTCTCAGACTCATTGCCACATTCGTGTGCAATTCAGGCCAAAAACCGGAGAAGCTTAGCACAAGACTTGCTCATTTTTCTGCCATTTTCATCCACCTTGCAGGTGGTGCCACTTGAGAAAAATTGAGAGGAAGATGTTCCACACCAGGTAGGAAAAGAAACACATATGCATGACAAATGTGGAAAGAGTTGCTTCATGTCGCTTCTACAACTCACCCTTTTTCAAGCAAGTTTGAAAGGGAATGGGGTCCTTGGTGGGAGATGTAACTAGAACACCTGGGGCTAGGTTTCAGGAAGCTATATTCCATGGAGTGAGTTTGTCGGTAAAATGGCGTCAACTGTTTGCATGGAGTGTGGACGCTTCTATACATCAGCAGAGGTAGCTGCAGCAAATGCCAACAGAGTTCTTAAAGGGCATTGGTTGCTGCTCCGTTGGACCTGCGAGGGCTTATGCTGCACTTAAGGGCAAGTATTGATGAAAAGCACATGAGGCAGTTGTGTTGGCCAAGGTGTGTGCTCTGCATCAAGTACATTATATATACAAATATATGCACGAAATCAAACCGGTTTGTCCAGGAAAGGTGGTGCTTCCCAGGAGGGATGTATCTGTGCGGCAAATTGATGGTGTCAACCGCAAAGCGGCAAAGTGGCAAAGCGGTTCGGAAACTGAATGCGCTAGCACTTGAGGGCAAGTGTGGGAGTGGGTTCCCGAGTTCATGAATAGTTGAAGGCTCCTAACATCAAAACCAAAGTCTTCAAAACCGGTCCAATGTGTCTGAGATGGGTGCACAAAAGCCGTGCGTCATGACCTGAGTGAAGCGTCCCCACAGGTGAAATGCGCTGCGTCCCTTCCATAAAACATAATAAAACCATACTTATTGACCTTTGGTTGCAAGAGTGATACCCCAAACTTGGTTGCACACGCTTTTGTATGGCGCTCTGCCATTGACAGCTACGGATGTGATAAGGGAGGACTGAAACCTGCAAAGCAACAGATCGTATATAAAACCAATACGTCTGTCTGCAAGAACAAGTGCCTTGCAATACCATCACTTGTACTGTACATTGGAGTACGCTTTGTATTGCGTGCACAAGTACAAGGGCCGAACCATCCACGGTGCTGATCCTGGCCCTCCAAGTACAAATCGACAGGTGACCCGAGCTCCCCTTCAACCTAGCAGCACTGCAACGGTTTCAAGGCCAATCAGATGAACATCTGGAACTCAGGTCACAGCGTAAGCCCAGGAAGAGCCAGAGTCAAACCAAACATCCATGGTATCGGTGCCTGGCCAAATCTTTTTTCCTGCACTTCCTTCGGAGGCCCAAATACAGTACTTAAGCGAAACGGGCCCGTGAAAACCCAAAGTTGGCAACCATCAAGAGACATAAGCACACAGCCTCTTTCATACTCATCGGCTGAATCCCGATACTGCTCAGGGAGCAATTCTGCTATGGAAAGCTCGAACCTCAGTTTGCAGCGGACCCTCAAGTACTTAGGACCTAAGGAGTCAGTCTTGGGATTCAAAAGCTCATCAAGTCGATGCATCGTATGCCCCTCGTTTTGTCCAAGACAGGGGCCATGCGTTGCTCCCTCTTTCCTCGATAATTTCTCGAACCTCAGATCTTCAGCAGCACCGAAAAAAGGCAGCTGAACGCGTGGCCAAAGCCCAGTCACTTTAAGAACGCGGCGTGGCTAATTACGTCAGTATTGAGAAGTGGCTCGCCAGTATCCTTTCGATAAAAGGCTGGAATGGGCCTCGCAATCACAAGACCACAGCTCCAGCAAGTGAGCACTGCGTATTGGTTTTGGCCAGTCAACATACGAGTGATGCAGAGAGGTGTTGTGGTAGGGAGAGCCTACGTTGACGTTCCCATCAACATCTGCAGTCTATCACCACTGCTTCTCGAGATAACTCTCACCTGCCAAGAACAAGCCTCGCAGGAAACAACGAATGCAAGGGATTGACTTCGACAGAGACTAGAAGCGAAGAATTAAGTTTCGTTGCACCCTGTCTGTCAATGTCTGGAAGCCGACATTCGAGCTACCTTGCCGTTCAACCTTCCTACTGCAGCGGTCCAGTAAGTAGGCTGAATCAGCGGAGTTGTCAAGTTGAGAAAATACATCCCCACAATCAGTTTGGCAGTGCCCCTACCCTACAGTAGGTCTACAAAAATTCTTGTTGTTCAGCCAATTCTTCACGGATCACGATGCGAATTGTCGACCAACGGACTTCAAGGTTCCAAGCACACCCCAAGACCGCTGGCGAGAAATGCACCAGTCCTTATCAACAACAAATGTACGACCAATATTTGCACTGTCAACAAATTCTATGTCCAATTTGCTTCTTCTAGTTCAATTTCACTAGGGATCGCACACTCCTGCCCTCAACCATTGGTCGCATACGATTGGCATAGCTCTCCGGAATAAACCTTTGCGAAGAACAGTTCAGTGGGATTCAATGAGTTCACATCCTCAAAATGGGAAGCTCCATGCAGCCATCACCAAACATACCCAGCAATTGTCAGATGTAATGGTGCCACCAGAAATGATGCGACAAGGGAGGAAAGGAGGACGTGGCAGAGAAATTGGAAAATCATCGACTGGACTTTTAGGGCCCATATTCACCAGTGCAAGCTGTTTGGAAAGGCCCAATCAAAATGAACAAGGAAAAGAAAGGATGCAAAAACAAAGTCCGCTGTGGGCATGTGCCAGCTAGATGTTTGCGCGCAGAAATAAATTGGTAGAAGCCTGTGGTCTGGGCTAGAACAAGAAAGTTGCAGACACAGACGTCTAGATGCCAGCGGAAAGGTTTGAGAGACTTGTTTGTTTCCCTCGGCATGTGTTCTTGGTTAGAATCAGAGGGCACAAAAATAGATGGCAAAAGGCTGTGGCATGGGCTGGATTTGGATGTGTTTGTGCGCAGAAACTAGTGGGTAAAAGGCTGTGACTAAGGCGACTTTTTGGTGATGAGGGATCAAACAAAATTAGTTCAGCATCAAAGACAATATTCAAAAGGGATCAAAAAGAAAAAGAAAAATAGAAAAAAACTATTCACTGCGAAGAAAAAAGAATTGGGAAAGGACTGTAGCTGTAGTAGTAGTAGTAGTAGTAGCAGCAGTAGCAGTAGCAGTATCAGTAGTAGTCGTAGTCGTAGTGGTAGCAGTAGCAGTAGCACTAGCAGTAGCAGTAGCAGTAGTAGTCGCAGTGGTAGTGGTAGTGGTAGTGGTGGTGGTGGTGGTAGTCGTGGTGGTGGTGGTAGTAGGTAGTAGGTAGGAGGTGGTAGGTAGCAGGTAGTAGGTAGTAGGTAGTAGGTAGCAGGTAGCAGGTAGCAGGTAGGAGGTAGTAGGTATATTAGTAGTAGTAGTAGTAGCAGTAGTAGTAGTAGTAGTAGTACTGGTAGTAGTAGTAGTAGTAGTAGTAGCAGAAGTAGTTGTAGTAGTAGCAGCAGCAGCAGTAGTAGTAGTAGTAGTAAAATCAAAAAAATATCCACAGCGCAGACATAGAGAATCATTCGCCTTTGCGGCGCTGGCACAGCTAAGCGAAGGTGGGCCTTATCATCCTCCTTTGCGGCGTTGTCACGGCTAAGCGAAGGTCGGCATTATTCTTATCATCCACCTTTGTGGCAGTGTCAATGCAAAGAAGATAGTAGTTGTGGCACCTGTGGTAAGACTCGTAGTGGGGTGGTCGGGGTGATAGAGGCACTGGTAATAGTAGGGGTAATGGGAACTGTTTCTGCCACCGCTAAGTTCGTGGTTCTGTCAATGCAAAGAAGATAGTAGTTGTGGTAACTGTGGTAAGACTGGTAGTGGGGTGGTCGGAGTGTTGGAGGTACTGGTAATAGCAAGGGTAGCGACAACTATTAAGCAAGCGGGAGGGGTGCGGGGGAGGGCGCAGCGCTTCCCCCGTAATGCAAATCAAGTATAGACAGCGCCATCCCCCTACTGGGAAATACTCTACCAGGGAGCTAGCACCCCACTGGGAAGCTATCTCTCTACTAGGGAGCTACCAAGACTGAAGGACCATAAGACCGGCGGACTAGGAGACCAAACGGACTAGGTCTAGGTGCCCACTGGACCAAGAAACCGAAGGAGCAGGGGACCAATGGAGTAGGAGAGCAAGAGACCAGCGGACCAGGAGACCGAAGGACCAGGGGACCAGCGGACCAAAGGACCAAAGGACCAGCGGACCAAAGGACCAGGGGACCTAGTCAGGATTATGTTGTTTTGGATACTGTTCATGTTTGAATTGATCCTGTGTTTTTTCTTTTTGATCCTGTTCTTTTTTATCCTGATGCCACTTTTGTGTGTCATCACAGCATCACTGCATGGCCGCTGTTGATAGGCTGTATGTGATGAGTGCCGATATTCCTCATAGAACAGTTGCCTGAATGAGCTGGCCCAGAGCGGCCCAACAAAAAGGCGGCCAAGAGTCGTGCTGAGGGCCAGCGTCCAGCATCAGCATACAATTGTCGAATCACAAGAATTGTGTGCATCGTCAGTAGAGCCGAGGGATCGCAAATTTGTGGAAACATACCTGCCCCATACCATAAAATGTTCATGATGCCTACGTATCACATCAGCAACTTCAACACCACCAACTTCACAAAACACACCCCAAATCACCTTTGCCACGGATCATTCCCGAAACATTCCCATTCCAGTGATGGGAACGCACTCAAGGTCAGCAAATGTGTGCAGCTGCACCACGGTTTTTGGTGTCCGCCCTGTAGCAGACAAGAGCTCTCCAAGCAACAAAGACTTAGGGTAGGATCACCATCCAAGTACGAAGGACCTGTCCATGCATGGCAAGCTTCCTGTTGACTAGACTCCCATCAAGAGCGGTCGGCAATTCACACCAAGCTCGGCCCATGTTTCTGGAAAAGCTGTTCATAGATCCATGCTGTTGGTTCTAAAATCCAATTGATGGAAGCACCGCAGAAACCACCAATGAGCAACACCGCTCACCTCCAGCACGGGAACAGATTCGCATGCAGACACATGCGTCAGGTAAACGCTCATGAGCTAGTGAGAGGCTCAAGGGTCTGGTCCACCCTTGTGACACTGGGGTTGGCACATTGAATGCCAGAGAGTGCTAGAAGACCTGGATGACTAGTTTGGCCATGGCGGGGAGATCCAAAAGCCAGAATTTCAGCCACTCTCCGCTTCAGACCGAATCAGGCACTGTGCCCAACTCTCAACTGACTCCACTGCGAAGGCCACCCAAGGAACAAAGAGCAAGTGTCAAAAGGCCCACAGCAGCGGCTCATGGGATCATCCATCTCGCAACAAGGGCAAAATCATCTGGAGACACGATCTATGTTTATTCCATGCAAGAAGGCAGAACATGCAGCTTCACTGCACTGCTCAATCTCTGAATATCGCAGCAAGCTAAGCCATCCGCTGAACTTCGTCCATTGCTTTAAGCACGCTAGAACGAAGTCCATCAATGCTTGCAAACCTGAAAACCATGCTGACACAAGCCGCTAATAAACCGTTTGTATGTACTATATACAGCATACCTATTGCCTCTAGTGCTCAGCTGATGACCACTGTGGAGTTGCGCGCGTAATGACAGGCTTCTTGCTTCGCCAGTCATAAGGATACTTGTGAGAGTACCTCTCATGAAGCCCAGAATCGGATCTCCCCAGTTGTGTTGCCAGTCTCGAACTGGCAAATGAAGAAGACTGACGAAACGAAGAAATGACATCCTCGTCAAAAACATTCTACCCTCAGTTTCACACGGCTTCCGAAGCAAAAGCAAGTTCTTCTCCTCCAGCAAGTCGGTGACTTTGGAGTTGGCATCCTGTCTGCAATCGAATTGACTCAAAAGCAGATACAATCTCAAACACAAGGACATGCAAAGGAACTTGCTAGCTTTGCTAGCTGTAAGGTCCTTCAGGACATTGGCCCCGACCAAGCTCTCAAGGCCTTTCAGAAATCATCAGCCCTAAGGCCCTAAGGCCGCTGAATCACACTACTTTGCCGGTCAAACTTTCTATGGACCCTGAGTTCCGTACCAACCTCTTCTGTAAAGTTGCCTGCATTGTCCACAGGTGCAGCGACCTGGCCAGCAATCTAGACTCTAGACTCTAGACATCCGGGTTCCCAATTGCCCAACATAGCCGCTTCGGCTACAAACAGTGCTACACAGTTGCAGCACATTGCACGGGTTACTTTATCCCACTGTTGTCAAGGGCGGAGAATTCATAGTTTCCAAATGTGCCTCCAAGCCATACTTCTGACCAACCAAGTAGTCCTTGGAAAGAGGGCGTCAAGGCAATCTGCACAGCAACGACTCTGTGAGTCCCTCATGTGGGTCATTCGGATCCGCGCATCAGCACCATGGCCAGGAGCCGTGTGCACCTTGAAACTGCATGTGGCGTTCTAAACCCACCCACCCACACTCCTACGCTGGAATGCACGGTCAAAAATCAATGTCACTCATCATCACACCACGATCGAGATAATCGTTGCAACAGCATGGTCTCACGATGTCGCAACGATCTCTTTTATGCACGGGCATTGCCGCCTTGCCCGTGATCAAAGGAGCTTTCGCCAACAGCTGTGAGCTGTGCACTGCGAAAGAACTACATAAGCTACCAAGCATCTCTGTGCGTGTCCGAATCCAATCTACGATTGGCCCCACAAACACCCCGTGTCTGTCCTTGCAGACTCAGAAATCCGCATCCAGAGTAAATGCATTCAATCCTTGCTCTTCCTTACCAGCCATGACCCCAGCCTTCTGGTACTCACCAACCCGCTTCTCAAAGAAGTTGGTCTTGCCCTGGAGAGAGATCAACTCCATGAAGTCAAAAGGGTTGGATGAGCCGAAGATTTTGCTGTGGCCCAAGGCTGTGAGAAGTCGATCCGCTACAAACTCAATGTACTGAGTCATCAGATCTTTGTTCATACCAATGAGGTCACAGGAGAGGGCCCCACAAATGAACTTTCGCTCAACCTCCACCGCACCCCTGATGATATCATGCACAACCTCTTCTGGCAATTTGTTTTGAAGCATGCCGTAGAGCAAGCACGCAAAATCCGCATGCAATCCCTCATCACGAGAGATCAGCTCATTGGAGAAGGTAAGACCAGGCATTAAACCCCGCTTCTTCAGCCAAAAGATGGCACAAAAAGAACCGCTGAAAAGGACGCCCTCAACAGCAGCAAATGCCACAAGACGCTCGGCAAAGCTGCTCTCACGGTTCATCCATTGGATGGCCCAGCTAGCTTTGTCACGGACTGCTGGCATTGTGTGGATGGCGTCGAACAAGTCATCTTTCTCCTTGGGGTCTTTGATGTATTGCTCAATGAGCAGTGAGTAGGTCTCGGAGTGGATGTTTTCCATCGCAATCTGGAAGCCATAGAATGCCCGTGCTTCTGGGATTTGCACTTCAGATGAAAACTGCTGTGCCAGATTTTCCAGCACGATGCCATCACTAGCGGCAAAAAATGCCAGCACGTGCTTCACAAAGTGCTGTTCACCCTCATTTAGACCATTCCAGTCCTTGTTGTCCTGGGCCAGGTCAATCTCCTCAGCAGTCCAGAAGGAAGCTTCGTGCTTCTTGTACATCTCCCACACTTCTGGGTACTGAAGCGGAAACATCACCCACCGACGGGGGTTTTCCTTCAACAGTGGGTCGAGCTTCTCCAAATCCTTGTACTTGTCAGAGATTGAGCTCTTCTTCGGCTGTGGTGCCAAGGAGTTGGTATCCTTGGCAAGAGCCTCCTCCAAGTCCCCAGGAAGTGTCACTTCATAGTTTCGTGCGACCGTGCCATCAGGTGCAATCAGTGTTTTGTGTGGAAGACCTGACACCTGGTAGCTCTCGGGCGAGTTCTCATCGACAACTGACGCCACCACACAACGGCTGATGCTGTGCTCTTTTGCAAAAGCCATTGCATCGTCCAAGGAACCATCAACGCAAATCAAGACAAACTGGCAACGGTCTGAGTAGGTCTCTGCCAAGTGGTCCAGATGTTGGGCAGCCTTGGGGCAGGCTTTGCACCAAGGTGCGAAGAAATCCATGATCATGGCCTGTCCTGCCTTCTGCAATGAAAGCAGATTCGACTTACTCTTTTCACCGGAGACCAAAACCTCCAAGGCCATGTCAGGTGCAGCCTTTCCAATCATTTGCGCGGCCATCTTGGAGGACGTGAAAACTGCAATGCAGAACACCTCTGGACTTGAGCTGAAGCCAAAATTTGGTCCGGAGAACTTCTGGAAAGTTCTTTGGGATGTGGACGCATCTGTTTAAGTCCTGCTACATCACCTCACAATTTCAACAAGCCTACGACAACCACAGACTGGGTGTCATGCCAGTCCAGTTCCCGACTCTGTCGTGATGTAGTCACCTGCACTGACTTAGCTACAAGTAGCGTCCTTACTACTAGTAGTAAGGCACCTTGCTACTAGTAGCTTCTTGCTCCTACTAGTAGAGTAGTAATGCACTTAGCTACTAGTAGCCTCCATACTACACAAACCTCCCAATACTACAGTAGCGCCCTTCCTACACAAACCTCCCAATACATCGTTGCAACTCACGGGAGCTTGTCTCTACATCATGCTCAGCTTGATTGTTCAACGGAAACTGAGGCTGGAGCCGCCCATCACCTGCATTTTGCAAAAACGTGAAAAGTTGTGATTTCTTCGCCTGGTCATACAGCTTCTTCCGAATCTTCAGTCTGGTCAACAAAAGTGACGGTGAGGGTCAAGATTCAGACCCTCTCTGGGTATGGTGCCAGTGGGGTCTCAACTCCAGTGATCGGATGCTCGTACTTGATGCCTTCCAACTCGCCTCACAACGACACGGACTCCGCCACAGGCAGGACCGCATACGACACGGCCTCCCGCACACTCCTTTTCCACCTCAGCAAACAATGGACATCCTGGAGCAAAAAAGTGTCACTTCAGCGAAGCCCGAAGTAGTAGGCAAAGCTGCTTCAACTCTGAGCCCGGCAGTGAGCGTTGCTTTCAGGAGGTCCTGAAGCCTCTCAACCAGGCCAGAGGCGACGACCAAGTGTCGAGGAGTCCTGAGCACCGAATGCTGACCAATGTTGTTCAACCCAACCAATAATTCAATGTGGGTTCTGAGAAAATAGTACACTCATCCATCTCCTTTCAGACTCGGTCCACACTGCCTTCACGATTGAATACCTTGTGCATGCATATGCATGCCACGTTTGACTAACTCCGGTGCACTTTGTAGTAACCTTTGTTAATCAAGACTGAAGCCCTCAAACCGACTCAAACCACATGACCTGCCAGCAATGAATCTCCAAGTCACGTGAGCTCAGGATTTACCGCGACTGCCTCAATAGGAAACGAAGGAAATATACTGTTCAATTGCAGAATGAAAACAGCAAAACAACCCCCAAGACACTTGCCCGATTTGCTGGAATGGTCCATGGGGTGGTCGTCCACACCGCCAACTGGCAACGCAAACGAAAAACACAATCGAAGGCCGACCACAAGTTAATGAGAGACTTGCAACAGAAATGATGCGAATTGGCTTGCGAAGCTGCCTGATGAGTTCGGCTCTACTAGTACACTCCAAAGGCGTGACCAATGCATCTTTGATACTTCGAAGTGGTTTCATTCTTGAACAATGTGCATATTTTGGTGACTGTGACAGTTCTTCGCATTTGCTTTGCATCTATGGTTCGTCACTTAAGTGTTTGTGTGTGAAGGTTACGGCCTTCGTTGACTCAAACGTAAGGAAACTTTGGACTGGAATCGACTTCTGTCACCTGTCTTCTGTTTACGTACGGTTTGACAGCTCAACTGGCATGTCCACAGGCGTGGCCCTTGCAAGTTCGAAGTGGTATTGCTGTGGCACTTGCTTGTATGTTCATGGCAACAAAGCTAGTGACAAACAATCGTGTTTACATCTTGGTATTGAGATCAAAGAGCTTGACAGGGCTTTGCTGGATATCAAGGGATGCAAAATACAAGTGTATATATATAGGTCAAAGTACCAGTAGAAGTTAACTTGGCGACTCAGCTACCTGATTTGTGGTCAGGGGTCAGGGTGGTAATTGAAACGCAGACACCTCAAGATTGTAACATGGATGCCTCAAGGTTCTCGAATCCAGAAAAGCCATCCGGAAGCCTGCACAAATGAGACTTTGTGAAAAGAAAAAAAACACAAAGGTGCTCTTTAAGTCCCATACTGAGTGCACTTGAAGGCAGCGTAGATGGATGGAGAGACATGGTCCTGTACGCAGCTTGTTTGGCAGACATTGTCACACGGTCTACCTGTAAATTGTAAATAGACATCCAAAATGACATATCCTCTGGATACTCGAGCTCGGCTTCTGCAAGTGCCGTTCGGGTGGAAGGCGACCAATACACCGGCTTCCTGGCGCAACAGCAAAGCTCGAAACAAGCGAAAACAAGCAGAAAACCAGAGTGAAACCACCACAGACACGCTTGCTTCCTATGTTCGCCACAGCAGAAAAGGCGAACATGGAGGTTGACACTCAGGACACCAATACACCGGCTTCCTATGGAGGTTGACACTCAAACCAGCGAAAACAAGCAGCTGACAGAACTGACAAAACCAAGCCTTCCACGATAAATATGACCACCACGCACCATTTCCTGCCAGCATTTGAGTCAATCTGACCATGCAACGCACCTGGCTAAAACTCGCATTTTGCAATCAGGTTGAGTCCTCAAAAATGCGAAGCCTCGGTTCAGCATGAATTGCTTATAAACACATCCATACAGTGTTGAAGTGCACAGAGTGTTGGTGTAGTTCGTATGAGTGACTATGACTACGACCAACAACGGAAGTTCCATCGCTGCTGCTCACACACACAGGTTTTGACGTTAAGGTTGTGGCTGCGCTGCTTCATACTTTGGAAGCAGAGTCAAGTAAGGTGATTCAAAGTCACCCCAGACGCCGTACCGCTGGAAGGAGGCCCTGACAGGCAGTCCTATTTCTGCACTTCGTTTAGAACTTCAAAAAGGAGCCACACATTGCACCTCTGCTCCTTGACCGTCTCCTGAGCAAACTTTGCGGCCTGCTGTCGCAACCTCAGTAGTTGATGCGTCCCGCTCCAGTTGCTCTGCTCAGCTTTGCTCCAGCTCTAAATGTGGTTGAACTGATCGGTTCTTTCAGCGCCGAACTTCAGGGGAGTAAGGCCTTTCTTGTCCTTTGACTTCAGACTCTGCAAAACCTACAGTCTGCTCAGGTGGCTCCATTCGAACACCCCTGCGTCCCATGCCCTTTCCGAAGGACCATGTTATCAAGCATCTAAATCAAGGGTTGTTGTCAGGAATGCATCCTTAGCTTATGTTGCACATGCTTTCGGTTCAATAATCTTGGAGATATATAACAGCTCAAGATCCGGCCATTTTCCATCCAACAACAAGTTCCACAG